TTGCTTTTTTTGTATGGTTTATCTAATGCCATTTTGTGATAATTTATTGCTGTATTTGAAAAGCTTTGTATTTTTCTTATTATTTAGTATAACTTATCAGTTTCATATTATATATTTTAAAATATTAGGATATTATATATAATGGAAAGCAAAAAAAAAAAAAAAGAATTTGAAAAAAAAGGGCTTTTTTTTTTTTTTTTTTAATTTTTATTTTTCGTCATTTGACACATTTTACAATGTTAACCTTACATTCAAATAAATTTATACAAATGCAAGCTGACTGGGGCAAGTAGACAAAATGCCCCTTCATGAAAATAAAATGCCCCTTCATGAAAATCAAGCCCCTTCGTGAAAATAAAAAAAAATAAAAAAAATTTTACAATTTCCAATAATATATAAAAGAGTGAAAATAAAAAAAGTTTAAAAAAAAACAAATTAAAAAGTTTGAAAAAATCAAAAAGTTGAAAAAATAATTTTTAAGTTTGACAAAACTAAAAAGTTTGAAAATAATAAAAAATAAAAAAGTTTGAAAAAATAATTTACAAATCCGTACATATGCGTATACATATCCAATAAACTTCATAATATATATTTAAATATACAAAAGATATTTTGAATTAAAAAAAAAAAATTTTGTGGCAACCAGTGGGACAAAACACTTACCCTAAAAGAAGACAAAAATGTTGAGCATGTTTCAGTTAGTGCCAGCAAAGTCTCTTAAACAAAAGCTGATAATTATAGTAATTCAGAAAATTATAACATTTTAATAAACTTCTCTCTTTTAAAAAAATGTTATTGATAGTAGTGGCAGTTGCCCAGAATGTAACAGTTGTATTGATTTTAGAGATGACAACGATAAACAAAGTGGATTTTCTCACAAGTTGAATTTTAAATGTACTAAATGTAAATTTCAGCATGCGCTGTTAATAGAATACAAAACTATTTTAGTATTGCTATTAGACAGGCTGCAGCTAATAATTCCTAAAGTAAAAATGAAAAGGTATACCAAATAAAAAAAAAACATTCGCGCAGTTCTTTAGCATTGCACTAATTTTCCTGATCAATTTCGTCGCCACGTGTTATGTCCATTGGGTCGTAATAATTGGTGTAAATGGAAGAAAGGAACCCTTCAGGTAACAGCATTTACATACCAAAAGTTAATTTACAAGTATGGATATATGATATCATTAAAAAAAGAGTTTGAAGAATTTTGAAAAAATGCACTCATGGTCAAACACAAATTTCTAATGAGGGTCTTAATAGTATTATATGGCTAGATGCCCAAAAAACATTTTTATTCACAACGCTTAATTTGAGTTGGCAGTGATCTCAGCTGTATTGTATTTTACTAAGGGAAAATTTTGGTTTTTAGAGACTAATGAGTCACCTCAATCTTGAGAATGATGTAAAATCTGCAGTGTCCTCATTTTGTAGGAACGTTGCCAGCATGAATAAAAAAGACACTTTTGAGAAAAAAAAGTAGAAGAATACATTTAAAATTCATTAACAAGATGGCAAGATGAAGAAGAACTGAAAACCTTTAAACCCTACTGACTAAAGCTTTTTGCTTCAAATTTTCATGAGATGTTCTACATGTAATGATGGAGGGCAAATCTTCAACTTTTACTAAGAATATAGCAGTGATTTTGGTTAAGGCCCTTCATTTTATGTGCATTAAACTGTTTGCAAAATATGAATATCTAATTTCAAATGGTTTCCAAGTTATCGTTTTTCAAATTTTTGTTTAAAATTAACTGATTTTGCAACCTTTTTGACATATTTTCGCAATTTTAGGAATAAATTGTTGTAAAATGACACTTATGTTGTTTTTTGTTTTCATATGTTATGTTCTTATACACTTTTTACTATCACTTTATCTGATAAAGGAATGATATTGCCAAAAACCTATCGCATGTAATGAATTTGGTAAAAAGTCAATACCATCTAGCAAAAAAAGTAGTGGTTAAGGAAATGACTTTAAAAATTCAAGGTGGCTTAAGTTTCTCTATTTTGATGGACGAATACGCATCTTTAAAAAATCTTCGCTATTTGAATTTAAATGTGCATTCGTTAACTAGGCTTTAGAACTTGGGCATGGTTCGAATAGTTGGGTCGCTTCCAGCTTAAAAAATTATTGATGTGGTCGAAAATAGATTATCCGAATTTAATTTATCTTCAAAAAAGCATATAGTTTCTAGTGTAACTGACGGTACATCAGTTATGAAAAAATATGAAAGATTAAGCGGGATGAAACATCAACTTTGTTATGCACATGGGCTACATTTAGCAGTTAGTGATATTCTCTACAAAATATCAGTGATTTCAAACTCATCGGGCAGTGAGTGTAATGCATCAGTCACAATTCTGATGAAAATAATAGTGAAGACGACGAGTCTGAAGAAATCGATTTTACAACTTCAGTGGAATTACGAAAAAGCCAAAACAACGATTTATTAAACTTACGACACGTTGAGATCACTGACGATTTATGAGGCAGCATAAGTGTAGCACAAACAGTTTAAAGGTCTAGAGAATTGTACGAATGTTTCTTAAATCACCACTCTAAAATGAAATTTTACAAAAATACGTAAAAAAGTACATACAATAAAGAACTCAAGTTAACACTGAGTATAAAAACAAGATGGAATAGCCTTCTTGCAATTTTAGAGCGATTTTAAACACAGCAATATTAACAATATTTCGGAGGAGGAATATTTAGTGATGCAGACTGTAATAACGGCGTTACAACCAATTAAATTGGGAATTGAAAGACTTGGCCAACGCAACGCATCCCTACTTGATGCAGAGGGTGTATTAGTGTTTATATTTGATGTTTTACGCAAAAATAAAGATTGTTTTTTAGTTAAAATGCTGCAGTGTGTGGAACAGAGAATTATTGAAAGACGGAATAAATGTTTATTTGGCTTGCTAAAATATTTAAATAATCCATCAAATTATAAACACGAATCGAACATAGATTCTGTATTATTGTTGCCTTCCAAATCAGTCCTTCAAGTTACGGCTACAAAATTATTTTCTAAGGTTTTTGTTGAGGATATTGATGGTGGTGAAAATTACGCTGAAATTGAAGAATTAGAACGCAGTAATGACGGGACTGAAACGTCGATTATGGCCGAAACAAATTTGAAGACAATATCTGAATCAACACTTTATCAAAAATTGGAAGCTGCCATTACGAACGTTGGTCGAATTGAGAGTCCAGAAGATGTGTTATTTGACGTTAAAAATATTACAAAAGAAATGGATATTTTTGATGCAACGAAAAAGCGTACAAATAATTTAGACAAACTATATAATGCTCTATTAACTATCTCACTGACTTCAATCGATTCAGAAAGAGCTTTTTCTGCGGCAGTTCTTTTTATTAGGAAAATTCGGCAAGCGTTAAGTGATAACGCTATTGACAATTTATGTTTTTTAAAAAATTATTTTAAAAGTTAATATATATATAAAATATAATGTTATTGAAGTTTATATTTGCTTTATTTAGAGTCTTAGTTTCTAAGAATTATTTTGTCTTTATTTTCTTGTTAAAAGTAATAGTATTTAAACCGCATTTTTTGTATTTGTTTGATCCCTAACTAGTTTGATAAATTCTGGCTCGTTACCTTATCCCGGGAAATGAGAAACCCTAGTTACGACATTTCCCTTAAAAATTACGACAAAAAATTCTTTCAACCCTGTAAACACTTTATAGTGCTTATAGGGTAAAAATTAAGAAGTTTTCGGGAGAAGTGTTTTTATGTTTATGTAACCTTTGGTTTTTACATTGATAATATCATCAAAATTTAAAAAGCTGCCATTTTGAAAACAGATTTTAGGTTTTTAAACTATTATTTTTAGTTTTGTTTATATTAAGAATATCTATTTATATATTTATAACTATTTTTCATAAAATAAATGTTTTCCCTATTTATTTCGTTGCATTTAATGCTATATATTAAAAAATAAAACTGCAAATAAAAAATTTATTTTCATTTAACCATTTTTAACTATACAAAGCAGTATTTTCCTTAAAGGTCTGTCGTGAAATAAGCAATCAAAAAATATATTTTTAACCCGAACCACCAATTACTAAGATAAAAATTGTCTTAATAATTTCTATGTATTTCTTAAATATTGTTTTAAAAAATGTTGATTAAAATTGATAAACTTTTGATTTTGTTGCTGACTTTAAACAAAAATACAATGTTTAAATTTTTAATAAAAATTTTATTACAAAAATTCTTATTGGGGTAACAATTTTTTTTACTAACAATAAAATGTGTTAATATTTTAATTAAAAAAAAATAAAAAATAAAAAAAAAAGAGTAGTTAAAAAATTTAGAAAAAATAAAAAGATATTTTATAATATATTTTATAAATTGAGTTAGAATGACCTTTAAAATATTTTCGGACAGTCAGTTCTATATTTGAATGCCATCTTTTTACTCGTAAAATTTGTTTATAAAAACAAGCTTCACACAAATATAACTAAGCTTAATTATAAAAATCAACAGGTTAAATTAGGATTAAAATGGCTCCAACTTAATTATCAACAAATTACTTAATATTTTTTAATAAAAACATCTACATCTTTTAATAATAAAACATTTCACAAAAAATTTTTTCTAACCATATAAACATTTTCCCACACTCAAATATATTATTATTAAAAAAAAAAAAGAATTTTCTTTAAATATATTTTTCGAAAAAAGAAATAAAAAAGAAATATATCTACAGTAAATATGATATATCCTCGTTTTCAAATAGCAGCAAACATTTCAGGATTTTGAGAAAAATAACAGTAACACAAACTTAGGGTTCAGAAAAATCAAAATTCATTTATTTAAATGTAAGAATAGCTATTAACAGAAATAGTAAGAATCTCATGTTTGTTTATATAACTTCTCTGTGCCTGAATACATAAAAAATGATTTATAAAAATTTAAAAAAGGCAAAAGCCAATTTTCTTAAAACTAAAATACTTAATTCGAAGATTTAAAAAAAAATTTCTTAGACAAAATCTAAAGATCTTAGAGGCCCGTTTGGAGGGCAGAGAAATAAATCTTTCCTTAATTGTGATACTATAGAAGATATTTGTCGCTTATTATGTGATGAGAGCTGACCAGTCTGTGATTTCTTTGTAGCGACAATTCGATTTACACGTGTAAGCATGCGTACTACATCCATTTTATGAGCATGCTTCCGAAAAACCTCTACAAGAGCTTGAATGAACCTGAAAAAAGCAAGGATTTTTCAGAGCAAATAAAAATTACAGTTTATGAATAACTAATTGAAATATAATACGATATTTTTTTAAAGCATATAATTTCATAAAAATGCATTTCTATAAAAAAAGGCTCTATAAAATTTGATAAAATGCAACGACTCGATAAAAGAACAAATATTGAAAAAAAATAATAATAAACAAATATGTTTAAAAAAACTATGTAGAGCTTTTTCATAGTCTAGATCTATATATATTTCTCAGGTAATGCTACGATTGTATATATTACTCAAACGATTCAAATACGATTGCATATATTTCTCAAGTAATGCTACTATAAGTGTTATTTCAATTTATTTCTCAGGTAATAAAAAACGAATTAAAACATAACAAAACAAGTTCAAGGAAGAAGAAAAAACAAAAAAAAAAAAAGATTTTTTTATTTCAACAAGAGTGTAAATACAATACATACCAAGATCCTTTTGCGGAGTTTCGCCAAGAATAAAATCCAGGAACAGTAGAATATGCATAAATAAAGTCAGCTTCAGTCGGAAGAGAAATTTCATTTCCATATTCTGGAGGTCCATCTGTTTCCATTCTGCCAGTATCTGGTTCAACACCATCCATATAGTCAGATCCTTAAAATATCAAATGTCTATATCTATCTCATATATATATATATATATATATATATATATATATATATATATATATATATATATATATATATATATATATATATATATATATATATATATATATATATATATATATATATATATATATATATATATATATATATATTATCTATCTATCTATCTATCTATCTATCTATCTATCTATATATATATATATATATATATATATATATATATATATATATATATATATATATATATATATGAGAGAGAAGCGAAAGAGATTGATAAATATTTACATGTTTGGTGCGTAAATATTACCACAATTTGTGTATTTAAATATAAGCACATTCAATCAATAAGTTACGCAAGCTTTTATATATGCATATGCTCTAATATATAATATATATTCTATAATATAAGAGCTATATAATGTCATATAATATAGTGAGTCAATGGCTACATAATATGTCATAATATAACGAGTCAAGAAAACGTGAATGCAGGAGAGAATAAAGTATTAATAAGTGAAAAAAACAACAACTAGATAAATGAAAATTATTTGAGCACGAAGGAACAGTTAATGCAACTTTGCTGAATGATGAGTCACACAGGATTAAGTTTTGGTTGATAGAACAAGAGATTGTTTGGACAGGGACCATGATTTGTAGAAAAGAAATGATATTAATGGGAAATAGACTCAAGCTCAAACAGTTCATACTAAATAAACAATGAGATTTTAGAATGTAAACCAAAAAGACATAAAGCAGAGGACTGAGTAAGAGTGTTATTATAGCATCATTGCAATAAACAGTAAACAATTAAAACTAGCAGTAAACAATTGTTTAGGTTTTAAATTCACTTCAAGCTCCTAGCTGTCAGTAAAGAGATCAACTTCAAAGAGTCAAAAACAGAGTATATTGTTGTTTCATCCACAAATAGCCATTTTAGAGGTAAGATTATCAGAAAGGTAAGATTATCAGGAAGTAACTGTAAATGAAGTAGAACATTATTCATCAAGGACGACTTCAATACTGCAATACAAAGGAATAATCTAATAATTTTAAAAACTGATTTTTAAACAAGTTGCCTGCTCCTTTATGCTCAAAAAACATTTATTAGTTTAGTTCCCTTCTATCAGTGTAATTTAAAGCATAAGTGTATATATATATATATATATATATATATATATATATATATATATATATATATATATATATATATATATATATATATATATATATATATATATATATATATTAGGGTGCATCACCATATTTTTTTTTAGATTTTTGAGTTGTCTGGTATATATGTCTGGTATATATTGCGTTCTATTAGTGAAAAGATACACTGTGGTAAAAAATAATTAAAATTGCTCAATATTTAGAGGTCCCACCAGTCCGGACAAGTTTCACATATGTTAATTAAAATTAAGCTCCGCATAAATTTTTTCCGTTGGATATTTGACATTATTCATAGTCTTTGGTAGCCATGTTTAATTTTTTCAAGATTGTTTTATGATAGTCTGCCATTCAGAAGTTATATAAATAATTAAAAAGTTATATAAATAATCATGATCATCTTTACAGATTAATCAACAATCATCTTTACAGATTGGTAATTATTCACAGTTTACACTGTTTGCTCTATTATTTGTAACTATTATAAAAAAATAAGAAACTGAAATTGTATATGTGTACTGTGTATAGTGTTTAAAAGATTATCAGTTTATTCAGTTAATATATAGAATTATAAATGTGGCACATAGGATAGCATAGCATATTATAGAATAAAGCATAGCCAATGTTAGCAATATAATAAATTTCTAAATTTTATTTAAAATATAAATGTTGAATTTTTTTATCCTCCAGTATTTCATTAACCCTGAGGAAAATTTTAATAAAATCTGATGTGAGTCCACTAGCTGTGATGTTGAAGTAGTTTGAAATTATTTTGAATCTAGAAGAGTACAGTGTTTTTTGCAAGCTTTTTTCTTTTTTCCAGAACCATCATCACCTAGTAAAACTGTATCTGTTGTGCCAAGTCCTCAAAATACAACTCCTTTCTCATCTTCCAAAAAAAAACAGACTCGTCAAGCTACCAAGTTGTTTGGGATCGGCCCTGCTATATGTGCAGATGATGGAACAATCACAGGTATTCAGCTGCCAACTTGCTTATAAGTTTTAAGAAGCATGATGTACCACTGCAATGTAGCAGTAAACAGTCAACGTCCAGGATCAACTGGTGCAGCATTAAGATTTACAACAGCAAAAATAGAGCTGAAAGAAATTGCATCGCTGTATGGAAAAACCAACATACCGATGGTTACAGAAAGAAGAGCAAATAATCAAACTCTTAGATGATAACAACAAACTCTGTTCAATCCAATCCGCATTTTGGCACCGACATTCCAGCTCTGGCCACCTAATGTTAAAAGTCTTGTCAAGAATCCAGAGGATCTTGCATTCCTCTAGTCAATGAAAGGGGATAGAGCTGCTAGCTTTGGTGCATTTGACAAGGTACTTGCCCAGAAGATAGCCAGGCACCATGATCGCAATGTTGCAGCAGCAAAGCGTCTGAAGTATGCTTGTGATGAAATTGAAACATTAAAACTGCCTGTGTCATCAGATGTTTTGATTGAATCAGAAGAAAGCAATGCTGACAAATCAGAAGAGTCTGCCTATGAAGATATGGATTTGGAAGCTGACTCTGAACCAACAGATAAAGCACCATCTAAAAGAAAACCAACAGGAACAATGGCCTTTATACCTCCAAACTTGCTAAGCTGACCAAATCTAGTGTCATTGGCAACAAGACTTAAAATGACACTAACACAGCAAGCTGCATTTACTCAGAGATTGATATCTGAATCTGGTGGTGATGGTTCAATGGTTGCTTCTTCTTATGCCACTGCCAATTGTGCAAGGCGCAAGCTCGTAGGTAAGATAGCAACAATAATTTAAAACACCTGGCAGCCACATAAACTCCTCACTCTGCATTGGGATGGAAAGTTGACTCCCACTCTCAACAATCCACATATCACTGAAGAGCGTATGATAGTGGTTGTAGGTGATGCATCACAGCTGAAGCTGCTTGGAGTTCCAAGTTATTTCAAGGCAACAGACATGTCAGTTGGAGAAATAATTGCTCAGTTGACAGAGAAGCTGCTGAAGGAGTGGTGTTGTATCGATCAAGTTGTGAATATGACATTTGATACAACAAGTTCAAACACTGGCCATGTGACTGCAGCTTGCATTGCCATACAAGATAAGCTACAGCGTGCTCTCCTATGGTCAGGTTGTCATCATCATGTTGGTGAAGTCCTGCTCTCTTACGTCTTTACTGACTTGAAAATAGAAGCATCCAAATCACCAGATATCAGACTTTTCACAAGGTTGCGAAGCAATTGGGATCTGATACCACATAATTCAACTCAGATAGTTCCTTTTTGTCCTGCTGATCATGATACACAGTTGCAAGACCTTTTGATTAAAATGAAGATTGAGATGATTGATCATGCTGTTAAAGATGTCGAATTTCTGCGTGATGATTACCATAAGTTCACTGAACTATCACTTGTGTTTCTATCTGCATTTAATGATGAGGTGAAATTTCTGAGACCTGGTGCTCTGCATAAGGCTCAATGGATGGCAAAGCTCATCTACAGCTTCAAAATTACACTCTGTTAGATGCAAATTGGAGAGCTGCTAGCAGGAACCATTACCACTAGTCATCAAAAAACAAACGTGCGTCGTTTTTTCACATTTATTACACATGTCTATGGTGTGTGGTGGCTCACATGTAAAAAGACTGTTGATTCACCATGGAATGATCTACAGCTGTACAAGCGCCTTCTGGAGTATGAAATTGTTAACAAGGATATATCTCAGTCTGCAATTCGAGCACTTAATCCTCATCTTTGGTATCTCACAGCTGAAATGATTCCACTTGCTCTGTTCAGTGAATGTGTTCCAATGTCAGAACGACGAGCTCTGGCAGATGCCTTGCTTAAGCTCAGGCCTGTGAATGTCCTAGAAGCAACACAGGATTGCTTTAGCGATGGCTGAGGAAAGCCACATTTTCCATTGTCCATTGAGTGCTCGACACAACACTGTGACCTTGCTGGAGTTGATTCGTAGTTTACAATTAATCGGCTTCAGCTGGACACCAGCTTCTTGAAAATTCCTGTCATTGACGGGAGCAAGTCTGATGCTTACATTTCCAGTGCAGCTGTAAATGTTGTTAATGATTGTGCCAAGAGAGGTGTCAAATTAGCATTAGACTTTGTCGAAACTGCCAGATCCGACGAACACTTTCAAAATGTTCTTCAAGTTGTCGAAAAAGATCGTAGAGATGCTCCAAATCTGCGCCGGAAATGCTGCAACAATGAAGTACTGTGATTATATAAGATAAATGGTGCTTAAGCTATGATAATAAGCATCAAACTATTCTATGAACTAACAGTACAATTTAGATTCTTTCCAAATTTGAAATAATTTTTTTTTCTAAAAAATATTTAGTAAAATTTGCACGTTTTCATAAGAATTGAGAAATTTTTTAATTACATTTTTATTATTTTAGTAATTTTTGTTTCTTTTATCAACTTAAAAGACATCATTACCATAGTTATATCATTAAAAACGATGAAACATTTATATTGACAAAAAATATGCTAGAATAAAGCTAGAAAATGAATTTTAATGATCATTTTTGTATCACAATTCCATAAATTTTGTTTCGGTGGGACCTCTAAACATTGTTTGATTTAAAAAATCTTTTACCCATATAATCTGTTAGCATAATGGAACACAATGGAAACACAGACAACTCAAAAGTAAACACTTAATTTTTTTTCCTAATGTTGTGATGCACCCTAATATATATATATATATATATATATATATATATATATATATATATATATATATATATATATATATATATATATATATATATATATATATATATAAAAGTATAAATGAGCTGTTTAGTGCAACAAC